ATCATGTATTGATCCCAATATAAAAGTGTTAAAAAGTATTCTGGATGGCGAGTCTCTAGTTTACTATACTTTTAAACCTAATTTAGTGTGATCACAAACAAAAAGTGGTTATCTAAAATCTTACTTAAAATTGAAAATAAAAGATAACGTAAAAGATAACAGGGTGATAAAATAGAAATAACATCGATAGAGAAATATTACAATTCTTCAAGGTATGTAAGGCTCACGCCCATGTGATTTAGGTGGTGTGGTGGGTCGTGGTTTTCCTAGATTTTTCTCTACGTGATAGTTGTCAACAATGATAGAAAGTCCTCCTTATGCATATACCTAAATCAAGAGGAGATTGGCATCCATGAAGTTGAGGCTTCTTTAATCTCCATGACATCTTGCATATTTATATCGATCCTTTTTCTAGGTTGCAAAACCCGGATAAAAAATGTCTATTGTTACTTAGATTTTGCAGTTAACCATTTCGTTCCTTTGCACAATAGTCAAGAATCACATATTACGAAATATGTTAACATCCTAATTTGTCACTATGTTAATACAACAACAAAAAAAAACTCTGATTCCTCAAGAAAATGATATAGTGAAAGAAATCATTCGAGAAAATCACGAAAACTGCATACAATGAATCACAGAGGTGTGAAAGGAATGCAGTTATGCATGTTAATAAGACAAAAAAACATTCCATCAAAATCATTGTTGGAAGTCAAACTGAAAGGTAAAGCTTACAAAATAAGTCGTTCACTCTTCCACAGCAGCAAACTCGTCTCTCAGATAACAATACTCTCAAAATTAAAATATGTGGTAGAGATTAAACACAAGAAATGAAGGTGAAAACTAATCGAAAGCTTTATTTTATTTCAAGATTGAAAATATACAAAGAACTTTTTTTACAAGTGTTCAAAAAGAAAAAGAAAAAAATCTCACTAAATACATATGAAGATGAAGGCGAGCCAAACATTTAAAGACCCTCGATCGTCTTAATTGCTTTCCTGCTCTTCCTTGTCCACCTCCTCCAAACTATAGAATAATTTAGAAAATCTATCAAGATCAACCTACTCAAGAATTCATAGTTTCACCTTTACAATCCGACAGAAAACTAAGGACGCCCTAACTAGGGGTGTA